ACAAAAAAAAAAAAAAAAAAAAAAAATCTAATCAACAGTGTGAAAACACATTCAGATTTAATTGCTCTTCAAAGCTTAAATAATCTCCCAGCTAGGTCTGCAAAGGCCAGAACCCAGCCTTTTCTTTTTTGGTACCAGGAATCAAACTCAGGACCTTGGGCTTAGCAAGGCAGGCAGCGGCACCACTGAGCTAAATCCCCAACCCTAGCCCTCTCTTTCCTAAACTTTTATATATAAACTACAAGATTAATCATTTCAACTGCCTTCTTACCAAAACTGCAAGCCCTTCAAAGCTTTCACCTGTCAGCAATACCACAAGGCCTGTGAAAGAGAAGTGCCCATGATCTGTGTACTAAAATACAAATACTGCAGCTGTTATATCCACACTTGGGTGTTGCACATGTGCCTACTGTCCCTCAAAACTAACCTAATTCTTTCTAAGCATTCCAGATCTCAGTTACTACCAGAACCATGCACTCACCTCTCAAACTATAGAGCTATTTTAAACTCTATATATATTAAACTCTACATTCCCTCTATAACCCATCAGCAAGCTTTCTATATGTAAAAATACATCTTAAGTTTGTCCCCTTCACTCTATCATTGCCACTCAGACACCAATCCTCACCATTTTCCTGTCTATATAGCTTGATAATCCCTGAAACTCCTCTTCCTGTCTCCAAGACCACCCCTCAAAATACCTCTCTGCCAAATGAATGATTTTTTTCCAAAACAAATCCTATCACATTTCACTCTTTCATAAATCTTTCAATGGCTCCCTTCCACCATAAAAACAAAAACTTCCTTATTATGGAACATTAAATTCTTCAACATCTGATCTTTTGAGCCTCATTATTAAATTGAGAAAATTTTAACTTTTTTTTTAATTGGGGGGCGATGGGGCAGGGTCTCACTATGTAATTCAGGCTGGCCTTGACCAAATTATGCAGCCCAGGTTGGCTTCAAATCCACTGTGATCCTCACCTTCTTCCTCAGCCTCCCAAGTACTGGGATTACAGTTGTGCACCACCACACTCAGCAGAAAAGCATTTTAAACACAAACTCTATTTCTCAATTATAAGAACCTGAATAGCAGGATATATCTTTGAATTAAAGAGTGTTTATTACCTTCGCCATCCTCGATCTATAAGATCCTGATAATCCTGTACTGTCATGGAATGTGCCCACATGCCTGAAAAAATGGAGATGTTAATTACAACAGGTTGGACTTTCTTCTGTTTTAAAATTCAAAGTGTGTTAATAATATAGGTGTTTAGGCTAAAATTCTAAAACAGTCACACTGTAAAAGTTTGCACACACTTCACACATGCTAATTCAGCACACAACACCAATGAAAAATAAGATATTTATTTTAGTTAAAAAATCAAATACATAAAGCTAACTACATTTAATTATTAGTCAATAGTCTACGACATCAAAAATTTAGATCCTCGTTGCAGTCAAATTGCATCTCATCTTCAAACTTTAATAATAACACCAATAATTTGATTCATTAGTCTCTTCAGAAGAATTAGAAAGCAAATTTTTGGTGTATATTAGTTCTAATTTTTTGTTTGTTTGTTTGTGGTACTAGGGATCAAACTCAGGACTTTTCACTTGCAAGGCAGGCCACCGAACCACTGAGCTAAATCCCCAGCCCCTATTAGTTTTAATTTATAAACATTATTATGTACTTGAACACTAAAAATAGGATAAAAGTATATAATGATCTTTTTCTTTTCCTTTTTTTTTTTTTGGTCCAGTATTGGGGATGGAACTAAGGACTTTGCACTTGCCAGGCAGGCATCCCTGACCCTACAGTGATAGTCTAAGAGAAAAACAAAGTAACCCAAATGTTAAGGATACAAGATGACTACAGGAACTGTATGATGGAAAAATTATTTAACTTCAGGGGAAAATAATGAAGACTACCAGAATCAACATTTAAAGGTATACATGAACCGATGTTAAACAGAGAAATGCATTTTTCCCTTTTGTAATCAGTAAACTGTATTAGTGATATGTAGAGATACAGATAGGATTGACAGAGCTAGACATATCAGGATAAAGCACGGTATGAGTCTAACAGAAATATGGAAGGCATTCATTAATACAAACAAATTACATTCTTAATTATATTCTCTGTAACAGAAATAATAAATCAACTAACGAATAGATGGGTGTCCTATAATAAAGATTAGCAGAACTGAAATCAAAATGATAGAAATGGATACTTATTTCCTTAGATGAAAAGGTCCAAGGCAGGTTTCTCACTGAAAACTTGAAACACTGACTTTACTTTGGGCAATTTCTCATTAAAATTACTGGACAAAACCTCAGAGTCTAGTTAATTTTAGATATGTTTAATGTTGATTACAGAGATTTGATAGTTACAATGTAAAAACTATGAAAAAAGAGAAGGGATGAACCTATTTTACTCCAAAGCAACTACTGCCACTGTTTGGCCTGCTTCTCCTGGGCCTCATTCCACTCCACTGCAATCCTGTCGTGTATCTTTTACATCCAGTTTGTTTCTGTTTAACCATCCATGTAAATGTGGTAAGCGCTTGTCCACTTAGCTGGTCTTTATAACTGTCACTTGAAATGAGTGCGTAACTGTCTACTTCAGACTGAGCACCTAACCTACACTCGCCGCGAACATGACATACTCAATGATGTGGTTATACCGTAATCGACTAAACCATTCCCCACTTATACAGCCCTTTAATACAGAAAGAAACCCTTAATTTATAGTCCCATGGTTATCTTGTTTTCCACAACGCTGTATTATTCCATTAAAGTAACATTCTATGTTCCATATTTGTCAATATATGACTCGGCAGGATTGTTTTTTTTTTTTTTTTTTTTTTTTTTTACAAAACACAAATGTTCCCAGAGAAACCCGAGTCACAGAAAAACAAAACTGCCGGCTGAGTCTGTCGTCGGGTCTAGGTAGCTGGAGGAATGACAGCGCGTGAGTCCCTGGTAAAAATGTCAAACATCAGGACTAACAGGCCATCTGCCCGGCAGCGATTAGGGCCACTAGCGTCTCGTATATTATTACTCCACGAACACTTTATCACAAAGGACTGCACAGGTACCACACACGCCCCGCTCTGCACAAGCAGCGCCAGACGCCGGCGCGTCCCGCACCCCGCACCCCGCACGCACTCCCGGGGAGGCGCACAGCGCGCTCTCCGCCGAGAAACCCATCTCCCACCGAGTGACAGGCGATTCCCGTGGCGCGGTCCGAGCACCCGTGGGGGTTTTCCTGAGCAACCAGCAGCGCAACAGCCCCTGCTGAGACAGCCGACGGTCCGTCTCAATCCCGCGGCCACGGCCCTCCGCCTCCGCCGCTACGGGGTTGCGGCGCCCGGCGAGGGTCCACACAAACTCAGGACACCGCGCCCGGCCTCCCACGCCCGCCTGCCCGCCCGCTCACCATTGGAGCGACTACCCTCGAGGTTCTTGCAATAGCCGCAGCAGTAGAAGTCTGCGCCCTCGAAATACTCTACGATGCTGGACGAATGACCGTCCCAGGAAGCCATGGCTTCAGCCCCGCCTAGGCTTGCTGCCCCCGACCAAAGCTACCTCAGCCTCCCCCGCCACCACCTCCACCCCACAATGCAACGCGGAGCCAGGACGAAGCTCGGGCGAAGCCACTCGGAGTCCCCAGGCCGGGCCCGGCCCTACGCTTCTCGGGGCTGACGCCACCCGCGCCATCTTGACCAAGGGCAGTTTTCCGCTATTTCCGTTCCTTCTCCTTGAGGGGCAGTCATAGTCAGTGAGGGTGGGGCGGGCGGACGGACGGAAGGAGCTGCGGGTGGGGGCTGGTCGGGAAAATACGAGTAGGAA